CAGCAGTCATCCCATAAACTACGCTCCCTGTCTGTGGGACTTTTTTCGGCCTTCTCGGCAAGACATATTTAAGTCTATAACTAAGCGAAAAAGGACATTAATACTAACCTTGAGGATGCCTATTACGACTAGTGCCGTGGGGACTTGAAACGGACATGTATTCAAGCGGCAAAAAAGACAGGTGCCTACTTTATCGCGCAAAGATGGCCTATTCGTACTTAAAACTTATCTTATAACGAGGTCAAGAAGAGAAGACACTTCTTGCTAATGATACAAACGTGTTTCTGAAGTAGCGACCGTAACCGATCGCTTTTTAAGTCATTCGATACGCACTCACAGACAAGCTTGTCGTTCCAAGTAATCGTATTCTGCGTATTCTTCACGGATACATTTGCAGTCAGATAGCAATGGCCAGCTAGTATCCTCGTAAATAATGCCTCATTCAGTTATTTCTCTTGCAGTTTCACTAAAGGCAGCAACATAAGTCCTGCATACTACCCGTTCTAGTAGGCCTGAGAGCCTCGGCATAGTCAGCCCGACTAACCGTTTAGTGGAAAAAAGGAACGACTCGAGTGTTTAATCTAGTTGCACTCGAAGTGTACAGTGCTGTAAGACAAATTATATCTGGTTGAACCAGATAAGCTCACCTGCCTAACAAATATTGATAAACATTCAAGCGGTCCGAAGTGCCTAACTGGAAACAAGTCGGTTATGACGCTCCAAGTGAGGCGATGAGTTCTAATTATAAATTTCGTATTTTATCCTTGACGTTTTTCAAGTGGCAACTGAAATCCAAGGTAAGGTGATATCTAAGACAATAACAGATCAGGGCGACAAGTACGGGATCGTGGTATGTAAAAATAGTGATCGGCAACTGTATCCAATATGAATAAGGTTGGAGGTAGCAGTTTTACGCGATAAACAGCAATAGAAATAAGTTTTGACAAATGCCAGACAAGCGTGCTACCGCGCAACGACGCCTAAAAGGAGTGTAGAGAACACTATCTCGCATCCCATAAAAGACTGGTGGACAATAATTTTCGCAAGTCATTGGCAAACAGACTAAATGGGAATTTATTTTCAGGGTATGCAAGTCAAATTATCAAAAAAGCATTGTAACAGTAAAGGCTAAGGAAAGGAAATAAGATTGTCGCAGTAGGGCGATTGTCATACTACTGGGGTGACATAGGCCATATCACCGCATAAGTTCAAAATGCATTGAGCTTGATTTCTGGATGGAGGACGAATGATCAGTAGCTCGCTAATGTGGTAGGAGAGAAGAGCGTTTCCTCCAAAACTGATGGTATGAGCCGAAATAACTGACTGCGCATCGGCTACACTTGCATGGACAAAACAACGGAGACCGCCCATCTGAAAGCGCAAACCGAGAAGGTATTTGATGAGCAGAAAAAAAGTAATTTGAACGCAAGATATGGGACCAAAAGGTACCATGACGACTACATTTCCTGGCGAAGATAACAACTGAATAAATGAACAAAAATTAAAATACTTCAAGGACAAACAAACAAACCTCTCGTAGATCAGTAGTCTCCCTGACAAAGAAGAAACTGATATTTCCAAAGTAACTAGTCACTTCGTAGTTTGGAATGGACGCGAGGGGTGTTAGCAGACATTTGTCATGATCACAGATGAATTTATCTAATTGACGGCAGGATCTGGTAGTTGACCCACGGCGGCCAATCGCAGGATCAAAAGTTGCGGCACGACCCTGAAAACGGTCACAGAAGAAAAGTCTCAGTAGTTAGTGAGCTCCAGAAGTAAAGAGAGGAATCACATGGTCGGAATTTTCAACTAAGAGTGAAACGCTATAGGAACAGCAGGTTCACCCAAAAACTGAGCAGGAAGTTAAAAGAATGAGCAACTACTCGTAAACAAAAAAGACCAAGATTGATATCTGATGCAATCCGATAATAGATAAAGCCAGAATTCGCAATGATATATCATACTGACATCATAAATGTCAGCTAAAAGCCCTGATAAGCGTGGTTTTTCGATTTTTAATCGTTGTATGACGTAGCGTCCAGGGTCTCGGTTCATCCGTGGAACCCCCATGTACTCCCGTGCTTTGCGGTAACTAGAGTTCATACACCACAAAACACAGGGGAACGCTGGGGCAGCAGCAAGTCTTACCGACAAGACATTCGAGTGAATGAGACCTAGTTCGTGTTCTACGTGCGAGACTGGACGACCATCTATCAGCCTCTTGACTCATGCACACACTCGTCGTTCAAACTTAGTGAGCCCACCAGATGTAGCAAAAGAGAGCCCGCAAGGCCAATGTTTACACGAGAATACAATTAACAGGATAAACAATGCCTAGTTAAATGAAATTAGTAGGCAGTTATGTGCTTTACACCCTATCTTATCACCAGCAAAAGCTTTTCTCCAGGCAAACGGGATAACACGTATAAAAGGCCTTTTCGAACGATAATGTGTTCAATATTAGCCAGCCTGTGAATTTTTGGGCGTCAACTTTCGAAAGGTGGTAATGAAATGACTGGACAAGATCAGGTCCCC